GAAATGGTCCCTTAACTTTAACCCAATTGTAGCAATGGTTATTCCAACATAACTCATTTTGACAAAAATTTTGACGTAGTTGACGAAAAGGACCATAATTACACACTGTGATGAGTTGAGGGACCCTAATTATATAAATGGTTATTCCAACATAACTTATTTTGACAAAATTTAGACGAAATTGATGGAAAAGGACTATAGCTACACATTTTGATAAGTTGAGGGACCAATGGTAATGGATTTTTAGTTGAGGGACCATTGCTCCAATTTGATTAAAGTTGAGGGACCATTACTACAATTTACTCTAACAATAATATAGCAGTTGAAAATAAACTATAAATAAAGGACCTACGAGAGAGCGATGATCCCAAGAACAAAGAAATAGCACGTCAATACAGCATTGACCAAGTCTTTGGATAAGAACTTAAAAAGTAAAAATAGCGATAACAGCATTGCACTCCCCACAAATGGAAATCTCATGGCATGTTCATTAGACATTGTCTCCTGCATAATTGAATGAACGTGAATTTCTAAGCAGGGACAAGAATACAAGGACAGATGCATCACAAAACGAATAAAAAGGACAGTTGTACTTACTGAAGGTGGAGTTGGCTTCACAGACCGGTAGCAACCCACAAAAACCGTGAGACATGCAGGTTAAAACTACATTTAGGTTTGGATCTACCTTCACAACAAGTGGTGCTAACGTTAAACCTGCAGCCAAAAGCAACTTAGTCATTTAATTGCCGAGTGATAACCGTTCCACCAAACCTCAACCATGGCATCTAAACATTACAGAATATACACTGCAAATTTTACTAGATAACTAAGATGCATTGCACTTATAACACTGGGATTGGGCATAAAAACAGATAGGCACGTAATCTCACATACTTTCCCCAAATTCGCTAGTCAAACAAGAACCGTGAGAGTGTACCAAGAAAATTTTCATCCCCTTTTCATTTCAAATACTTAAAGCAACAAAAAACATACAGAACGAAATCTGGCAGTGCATAAACTTTATTAGCCCACTTATCTCAACCACCAAGCATAGCCTACAACATATCGGTCTTAAACCAAATCAATGTGTGGTTCTGTCATTGCCTAAATCCTGTTCATCATATCCCTACTTTCATAAACTAAAAGCAAGGCTATAAATAGCCAATTATATTCTAGTTCTTCAAGATTAGTCCAAGGCCACCAGATGCTCCTCAAATTTTGGTTCTTTTTAAACAAAATAAATAAATAAATAATTTGAAGCTTTTAGAGACTAGAGTGTCATTTTTCCTCACTGAAAGACCCATCAAGATTAGAAATTTATGTAATTCTACTCCCCCACAGATCCATAGCCCAATGAACAACTCAGTCTCAAACATAATTTTTCCTATTTATACCCACAAAAAGAACCCAATAAATTAAAATTGAGAAAAGAAATTTAAATTACTGCTTATAGAGAGCAAACCTGCTAAGGCGATATTGGCAATCCGCTCAACGTTCTTCATCGTTAATGTAATCACTCGAAAGGAACCCGCTTCGAACTGCAATTCCGATCAAATCGAACTGGACTAATACTCCTCCTGAAAACCCTATAAATGAGATCAAATTACAAGGTGAAAAAACCAATCAAATTGCCCAAAACGCAATCTCAATTTCAACAAAAGACGCCAGATTTACACTCAATTTTGAAAATTGACGAAACTACCGCTCTTGTAAGAGAGGGAATTGATAGTACCAGTGGGCCGCGACGCAGACGATTTTCAAACGGCCTCCTTCCGTACAGATCGGAGATCTTGATAAAATTTGCAAAATTAGGGTTTTACCTGAGGAAAGCAATTGGGGGATTTGGGGGGTTAAAGTTACAAATCAGAGCCTGTCTAAGAGACGGGGCTGTTACGTGGGATTTGGTGACGGCCAATAAGGAAAGAGATTTTGTGAGAATTAAAACCGTGGTGTGGTCAAAGCTGGGCTTTTCATACGTGGCGGGAGATGATTGGCAGTTGTTTAAGGAACTTGAGTTCGTTTCTGCAATGTGGATCGTTTTGTCGGTCACAAATTTGATGACCGATTTATACCCTTTTTAAGTAAGCCACGTAGGTCGACGTCTAGTAGCCAATCATATTTCGCCATGTCGGATTTTGGTACCTCAAAAGATCTGCTTTTCCAAGACTTTACCGGCTGATGTCAAAGCTTTTCCGTTTCTCTTTTTGGTCAAAACCGTACTATGGAATTTGTCCCATGTTGCTCGAACATTATAGATTGGGGCTATTGCCCTTCTCCTATAGCACCTCACCCCCTTTTTTTTTTCCTGGTTAATGGAGACAATTGGTGGTGAATTACTGTCATCTACATATTCAGGCTCGAAAAAGACTAGTTGAGAATTGCACTATACTTGTGACCACGATCAATTAGAATCACAGCTTATAAAATATCGGACTTAGGACCTTCTTTTTTCCTTGAGAGAGCTGTTGTTCATAGTTTTTTTTCCCTCATAATTACTCTTACTTGACTAACACTAATATTTTCTTAAAGTCAAATAAAAAATTTTAATTAAAGTTTATGTATAAAGAATATTCAAATTGAGTGGTGGAAACGATAATTGTGGCGTGGTGTGATAATTATGGTAATGATTTTGATGATAATTATTGGAACGGATATGGTGTTAGAGAACTTTTTTAGTGTAGCCTTAATAAATTATCAACGTGCACATTTTATAATAAGCTTGTATATTTATAATACTATGATAATGTCAATAAAATATTAATCATATCATTAATAAGCATGTATATTTATAATACTATGACTTAGTCAATAAAATATTAATCATGTCATTCATTCATGTTAAAACATGTAAAATTAGTCTTTAAATAAGTTCTTTGGTTTGGATTTTTAGTCATTATATCTATTCATTGAATAAGTGATGATCCAATGGTTCTTACTCAGGGAATTTTGGGACTTAGACTTAGTTTGAAAGGGTTTTATTGAATCATCGTGGTTTTAGTATGAATCTGAGGTTTTAATCAATTCTATAGGGTCTTAACAAGAGAATTCCTATCAATAATAAAGAAAACAGCAGTAAAGCCGCATTACACATAAATAACACCAAAGAAAATAGGTAAATAGAAGATTCAAGAGGCCTATAACGATCAATATATAGACGAATGAGCCGACTTGATTTTTTGGCATTATAACCACAAAGAAGAGCTTTCGGATTTTTATTCTTTAGTATCTTCAAAAAAAAATTGAATCATAAATCATAACTTCAAACTTTATATTACACACATCCGTTAGAACTAGTATTTGGGTGTTTCTGTTTGAGCCGTACGAGATGAAATTTTCATATACGGTTCTCCGGGGGGGTCCCCTTGATTTACCTATCTCAATAAAATCTATGATTGGTTCGAAGAACGTCTTGAGATTCAGGCAATTGCCGATGATATAACTAGTAAATATGTTCCTCCTCACGTCAACATATTTTATTGTCTAGGGGGAATTACGCTTACTTGTTTTTTAGTACAAGTAGCTACCGGGTTTGCTATGACTTTTTATTATCGTCCGACCGTTACGGAGGCCTTTGCTTCTGTTCAATATATAATGACTGAAGCTAATTTTGGTTGGTTAATCCGATCAGTTCATCGATGGTCGGCAAGTATGATGGTCCTAATGATGATCCTGCACGTATTTCGCGTGTATCTTACCGGCGGCTTTAAAAAACCTCGTGAATTGACTTGGGTTACAGGTGTGGTTTTGGGTGTATTGACCGCATCTTTTGGTGTAACTGGTTATTCCTTACCTCGGGACCAAATTGGTTATTGGGCAGTAAAAATTGTAACAGGCGTACCAGACGCTATTCCTGTAATAGGCTCGCCTCTGGTAGAGTTATTACGCGGAAGTGCTAGTGTAGGACAATCCACTTTGACTCGTTTTTATAGTTTACACACTTTTGTATTACCTCTTCTTACCGCCGTATTTATGTTAATGCACTTCCCAATGATACGTAAGCAAGGTATTTCTGGTCCTTTATAAAGAATATATACCATCTTGTAATCAATCATCTATCACTTGGGGTAGGAACACTAGTATTTCATTGCTACAAATATGGATTATTGAAAAAAAAATAAGACATGTATTGGGATATTTCTCTTCAACTCTACAAAAATGTATTATTTTTTTGACACTCATAGTTGAAGTGAATTTTCCGAAGATAAAATGGATTATGGGAAATTTTATATTACAAAAGGCATCATCACATATATTTTCTTTAAGAGAGTTTTAACGAAAAGCTCACGGTACTGTTCACTTTAACGAAAAACCATATTTTTACACTAAAAAGTCAAACATAATACTATTCACTTTACCCTTTATTTTGTTCTTATCGTTAAAACTTAAAGTTTTCAAGCCATTTTCATTAGTTTTTATTTTCTTTAACTCTCTAAGCTAGGGTATATTTTGTCGAACAAATACAAGTGCATGACAACATTTTTGGGTGATTAAAGTGGATGTCATGTCGAGTAACCAACAATGGCACATGTTGACTACATAAAAGTGTTACTACACCTATTTGTCATCGTTGATCAACTTAAATGTTAAGACACTTGTGCACTAAATCGCACTTACACTATTTGTAGTAAAACCTCATTAATCGGTTCTCTCAAATTTATGCATGAGAAGTGACTTTTTACTTAAGGCTTAATTTTCGCTCTGCATTTAGTTTTATAATTATTACAATTACAATAATTGATATGACTTATAAGTCCGTCCACAATGATAACTCCTACTCAGTGTTGTGTATTTTATGCAAGATTTAACTGTTATAAAGATTCATTAAATCCCTATATGCAGTAACTAACCGTTTGATTTTTCTAAACTACTCAATGCTACGTACCATAGAAGAAAAATCATACATAATGGAAGAAAAATTATACATCATGTACATAAAAACCAAAAGAACAAACTTGATGAAACAAACCGAACTGATGCAGAGGGGTAAAATGGACATTTACTAACAACCTAAGGAAGAGAACATTGGAAACCCAGCAACCTCCACAACGGAAGCAGAATATGTCCCAGTTTCTCCTTCAGCTCCACAGTCTTCAAACACTCACTAAACCCAGCAAACTCCAATCCATACCCAGCACCTGTTTCTCTCACCATCCCAACCTCACCACTTTTCCTCAAAAACCCACCATACCCAACAAACTCCACCTCTCTCTCCGCCCCTTCTTCCCTCCACCGCTGGATTCCCCATAGTAGTATGCAAATCCAACGGCTCAGGTAAACCCTAACACTCCATCTTTTTCGCTGCAGCCAGTTGTAGTTGGGTTTTTTCAGTTTCTGTTTTATCAACTTATATAGTATGTTTAATTGCTAGACAGGCCTAGACTTCGATGTTCTGTCACAGCCAGAAGAGCGAGGAGGAAGCCGCATCGACGCACCAACGGAATATTCTGGATTATACTTGCTAACATTGGAATTTACTTGGCTGATCATGTGTTTCAGGTAGTGTTTTTAGTGTTTAATTAATCCGAAGTTAACAACTTTGTAACTTGTAATTTGTAATTAGTTCAATGTCTAATTGGATTTAAATTTTTTGATTTGTTTACGGTTGTGTTAGGTTTGCGCGATTAAATGCTCTACTTGTAGCACAATTGGCCTACTTGGTACCAGTTTTTAACAGCAACATTCTGTCATGCTAATTGGTGAGACATATGAATGATATTGTAACAAATTATGGTTGTGTCACTTATGTTGCTGGACTATGAATCTGGATCATTCACTTGGGTTGGTTTTTGTTAGAATGCATGGTTTAGGTTCCATTTAGATTCACAGACGACGTAAGTGTAGCAAGAGAGCATTGCGGTGTTAACTAGTTTACATGTATGTACTGATTCAAAATTCACTATGCATTATTTTCAGGAGACATCTTTCGAGCACCCTTTTCTTCTTGTATATTTTTGGTGAGGGTCATTTTCTTCTTTTCCAATAGGGTCAATTTAATACTGAAGCAAAGGAAATTGGTATCCGACATTTAAAATACCTGTTGAAATTAGATAGTGTCTTTCTTGCTTGAACAGGAAGCTAGTTGAAGAAGAGGAAGGGAATTTTGCTCTGTGGCTTTGTTATATTCTTATTGGGGTTGGAGCAAAGCTTGTTTCGTGACTTGTTCTACCAAGAAATGCAGTTTCCATTGGAGCCTCTGGTGCTGTTTTTGGATTATTTACATTCAGTGTCCTTGCCAAGGTGATTTCCGATCTTGGAATTTTTGTATCTCTTGACGGAGATGAATCAGTATATGCTTAACCAGTCAACCCTTCTTTTGATCAATGTAGATGTCTTGGGACTGGAGGAAGATCCTCGAAGTGCTTATATTGGGTCAATTTGTTATAGAAAGGGTGAGCTGAGGTTTTCAGAACGCTGACCTTGTTGCTCCTCAAATCCTGTTACAGTTTTGTTATAATTTGTGTCAAATTATCTGGGATGACAGGTAATTACACTTCAGACATCTGTAGTTTTTTTGTTTACGTGTACGTGTGTGCGCATGTTTATTTTGTGTTTTTTCGGTTCTTATTTTTCCCAAGATCATTCACCATATGTCCCAAGTACATATTTGGGTACAGATTACCAATATGATTCTGTTTTTGTTGCTGTTTTTGGCCACAAGTAGGTTATGGAAGCGGCCCAAGCTTCTGCTGCATTATCGGGATTCGTTGGCAGAAATTCGTTGATGAATGTCAATCACATTGCACATCTCTCGGGTGCTCTTGTTGGTGTTTTTCTGGTATGGATTATTAGCAAGGTTACTTCTGAACCTCCATCAGAGGAAGGATCAAATTTCCAAAGCAAAACAGGCAGAACTCGATTATAGTTCGATATCAAAACCACACTTATATGCTTGTATTGCAGCATTTAATATCCTGCTCACCATTGTGCTCTATTTTTTGTTGATCATGTGTACATTATTCTGATGCTAATTGGTTCAATACAAAGAGGATATAATTTGCCCCAATTGGGTCAATCTTGGTCTGAACCAGATGCTTTTTCAAATATAAGCTTGATGTTTAGACCAATAGCCATGGGCTTGAAACTGAATCAAGAATGAATGAATAAGGGAAATTCTGATTGGCCCATAAGCACTTTTGTTGGCAGTGCTTTTTTTAGAAGCACTCTGAAATGAAAAGCGCTTAAAAGTATTTTATAACCTGAAAACAGTCAAAGAATTTCTCCACTATTTTTGGTTACCTGAAAGAATTTTTAATTTTTCAAAATGCATTATCAAATATGCCCTTTGACATGCTCCATTGAGCGTGAGTCATTTTTCAAGACAACGACGATAGTCTAAACTACTCTTAAGTTACACAAAAAGTGGGAGAAGCAGCATCACTACTCTCCATGTTCTCAAGAGTCAATAAGTATATTGATGATTAATGTGGGAAGGTACAAGGTGAAACATTTCATTTACAACATGTAATCAACATGCTCAAAAAGAAGCAAATTTCAATGAAAAGAAACTCTCTTCACTATCTACAACATTTATATGCTGAATTTTCCTCGGAGAGAATTGTATGACTCTGTTTACATCCAAATCGCATCGTTCCTTCAGTTCAAGAACACAACTGTACATTGCTGTGCAAACTGACCATACACACCAAGCTGCGCCTGAGATTGCTTCCTGCATATAATCGGTGATCGCTCCCCGAATTTACAATTATGCGACAGATTCATAGACTTTGCAGCAAGCGATGATACGTCCAATGAGAAATCACCATCTCTTAAAACCATTCTTCCTTTTCTAGTTGCTGAAGCTAACCCCTTTTGATCACTTGCTACAGCTGATGGTATCTGTAAAACATTGGGATGAAATGCACTTGCAGACTTCTTTTGATATATTTTCTCCAAGCTCTCAAATGGCTCCTCTTCTTGTTTAACCTGAGGAGTCTTTTCCATACTTCTTGCAGAACCCAGCATCCTGTTTGCCTCTTTTGTTAATCCAATTGAACGCCAAGCGTCTGCAACAAGCGAGACAGTAGATTTCTCTGGCTGAACACCAAACTCTTTCATAATCTGGAGTATTTCTTCAGCTTTCCATGGCAGCTTTGCTTCTCCAAATCCCCATATTAGGGTCTCAAACGTCTTCAAATTGGGAGAAATACCGGACTCATACATCTTATCGAAAACTTTAATCGCGTTCTCCATTCTGCCAGAACTGCACCATCCACTTATGATGGTTGTGAATATCACAACATTGGGACGAACTCCTGATTTGATCATGGTTGCCAATAGTTCTTCAGCTTTCTCAACTTCTTGAGCACGCACGTAACCTTTGGCAAGAATGCTGTATGCATGCGCATCAGGTTTTATGCCGGCCTTCACCATGTCGTCGAATATTTGCCTACACTTCTCCATAAACCCTGCCGTGCTCCATGCATTCATGATGGTGCTGAATGTTATCACATCTGGTTTGACCCCAAATTCTTCCATCAACTTCAGCACCTGCAAATTAACACACATTATTTGTGTCAATAATCGAAACAAACACCATTTCGTGCAATCCAATAGCTATGCGATTCTGGAGGTCAACTCACCTGATCAACCCCATCTCTATCCATGGTGTCTACGAAACCTTTAACCAGCGAGTTAAAGACAACGATGTTCGGGCGCAGACCAAGATCTTTTATTCTGCGCATAAACCTTAAGGCCTCCTTCAACTTACCTTCCTTGCAATACCCGCTTATGATAATGCCACAAGTTCGCTCGTTCGGATACAACTTGTTGTTCTGCATCTCTAAAATCAGGCCTTCTGCCTGACTTGTCTCTCCATTTTGTGCATAAGCTGTTGCTAATGTGTTGTAAGTAACAGCATCAGGCCGCATTCCAGAAGCAACCATCTTATGCACCACGCTCCATGCCTCTGTGATGTTCTTCTTCTTACACCATGCTCTGACTAGTACATTATAAGTCCTGATATTCGGCTTCACATTTTCCTCTCGGGACATCATCTCTAGCACTTTCAAAGAATCCTCAGGCTTACCCGAAATCCCATACCCTTTGATCAATGTGTTATAAGTACTGGTAGTGGGTTTCAATCCACTCTCCTTCATCTTCCTAAACATTTTCATTGCTTCCTCTACGTTCCCAGATTCAGAAAATGCATTTATAACAGCATTGAAGAATATCAAATCAGGACTCAATCCATTCTCTTCTACCTGTGAAATAACAAAAGGAATGGACTCGAAACGCTTCTGGGCAGTCAAGGCAGCCAACAGTGTAGTGTATGATATCAGTGATGGCCTGTGTCCTCCTTCAATCAAACCATTGAAAAGGGACTGAGCCTCCTGAGGCTTCCCTCTTTCCACCAAAATGTTCATTAGCCTAGTTCTCGAACGCACGATTCGACAACTCTCTTGGCAATGCAGATAGCACAATGGGATTGTCTCAATGAATCATTAGACCTTGAAATCAGAGGCAACTGATCCTTATCATCTGGGTAATTTCCCTGTTGGGTTAAAATTACAAAAACATAAAAAAAAAAAAAATATTTACTAAATCAAACCCTCTAAAAACTTCAACTGTAACAAATCAAGCAAAATAATTTACAGTGATTGGAATCAAAGCAACATATAATCATATCATTAAGCTAATTAACAGAAAAAAGTTACCTTGATGGGTAACTCTTGGACCTTTCCATTTACAAAAGTGGCAGTCTTTTCTTCATTTTTGTTGCCTGATTCTCCCATAGGGATGTTTATCTTTGCACTGAACAAAATACCAGGAACATAATATTAATTTTTTAAATAATTTTAATTCTTTTTTTAGCTTTCACAATTTTGGTTTTCTGGGTAGAAAACAATCAGAAGACACCAGAAAATCAAAGCTTGGTTCTTCATGGTCAAATCAACTTGAACATTAAGGAAAAAGATTACTGAAAATATATAAGATTAACTCAAAAAATAGCATCTTGGGCAATAATAATACCAACTAATAAGAAATTGTATGGAAAAGTTATAATCTTTGCAGCAGGATGTGGCATTTTGAACATTTCTTGAAGAGGCAGAGACAAAGGTTTTACCTTTTAGCTTGAGATTGCAGAAATTTGCAGGCAGCGGAGAGAGAGAGTGTGGTTGGAGTTGCAGAGTTGTAAGGAATGGAGGAGTACGGAGACCCACGAATACAGAAGGAGAAAATATAATCTAATCTCGGAGCGGGTGAGAGACAACGCGATGGGATAAGGGGGACAAAGTGAGGCTCTAAAAAATTTTCAGGAAATTTGCTTCTCATTTATCATTTTCCTTTAAAAAAAATCATTTATATATAGAAGGAGAAAATTTGTCCAAAAAAAAAAGAGAAAATGACGAGGCTTTTATAACTTCAAATTGTCTTTCTTCCATTAAATTTTAAAAGAAAAAAATAAATTCACAAAAAAAAAAAGAAAAAAAAAAAGAAAATCACCTGCGTAACAAGGATCAGGATCCTCTCATGAGCTAAGGATGAGGATTCTCTTGACCAAGTCCATCGGACAATTAAAATTTTATCCAACGGTTACAATTATTATAACTTTTAGAGGAGCTCATTGTTTGTAGCCGTTGGATAAAATTTCAATGGCCCGATGAGCTTAGTCAAGAGGATCCTCACCCTTAACTCAGGAGAGAATCCTGATCCGTGTAACAAGACTGCAGGTGTTTAGCAAGTTTATTATTTTTTATTTTTTCCAAACAAATTTTTTTTTTTTTAAAAGAACAAATTGTTACACGTATTGCAGGAAAGAGCGTCGTAAAAGTGCAAGTGTGCACAATTTTATTATGATTTCTTTTTATACATATAATTAAAAAGAGAAATATGAGAGTCAGTTGTATATTGGTGCATAAGCTGATCTAAGCATTCGTGTTTGGACCCATAAAGCAAGAACATTTATATTAACATTATTTTCGGCATGACATGATTTGGCAGAACTGGATTTGATAGAACCCTAATTCGTAAAAGAACGAAAGTGCAGAAAAAGGAAATAAAAGCAAAGAAATTGAAATTCATTAATTTCATTCATGCCTTTCCAATAAAGGTTCATAGCCTCATCACATTCAGTAGAAGCCTAGAAGCATCTAAACCAGTAGTAATCCGAATACCCAACTATATATTGACCTGAACCCATTGGCCCATTAATAATTAAAGTAAGTTTCGGATTCCACACATATTCTAAGCTCGATTCTTGACGTTAGGAATTGTACGATGGTGGCTAGTAGGGTCTGAAATGATTTTGTGAGTCTTTCATATCTCCAAAAGTGTGGACTACAGTGACGTTGCCACCAACGTTCTTTTTTTTATTTTTTATTTTTTTAAGGAAAAGAAAAGTAAACATAATTGTGAAGTGTCCGGCCTAGCCTAGCCAACATTTGTTCACACTTCACTGATTATGTCTACGTAGGTGTATGATTATATCACTTCTCTAATGCAGAGTGACATTCTATTTACATGATGCTGTTTGTGACATGGTAATGTTCTTAAGCGATTATTCTGTTGTAAATGTACCAAAACACTTTCTGATATGAATCACGCTATTCAGCCTAATACCGTGGGCACAGAGTTCCCTAAGGTACTGTTTGGTACGTGGGACGGGACATAATTGAGTGGAACGAGGCGTTCCGTCCCATGTTTGGTGCGCCTAAAATGGATGGAACGCGTTGTTCCATGAGACAAGGTTTGGGTGAATTTTCTTTCCATCTCACCCCCTGGAACGACTTGTTCCACATCCGTGGAACACAAAATTATAACATTTTAAGACAAAAATGCCGCTCTCCCATTGTCTCTTTCCTCAGATCTCAACCTCTCCGTCTCTTTCTTCTTCCTCCTCCCTTCCATTCGAACCCTAGTTTTCCACGACATCTCTCAATATTTAGAAAATGGGGAAGCCATCCAAAGGCAAGAAATATGAGAATTTGGAAAGGGAATAGTCACCCCCGTCCAAATCGCCTTCATCGTTGACCGATACCTCTGCGACAACAACTACTTGGTAACCCGCTCTCTTTTTAGAACCGAAGCTTCGTCCCTCATTGCTAGATCACCGATTCGAGACGTACCCACTTGGTTTTTCCCGATGATTTGTTCTAAATCGGTCTGAAAGATTTCTTATTTGTCTGATTTAGGATTTGGGTTTTTCTGTTTTTTGTAGGCACCAAAGAGTTTGCTAAGCGTGATGAACACTTACAATGTCGGCGGAAGCCCCACAGTCTCTGCACCTCGGTTGTGGCTCCGAAGTCGATGCTTATGGCTACTCTGTCTCACCTGTTTAATGGATCTGTTGCAGGTACAATCCTAAGCCTCCCCGTCTGGTTGTTTGCTTAGTGTTTGAAAAATTGCCTGAATGAATTGAGAAATCTTGTGGAAGTTGCATGTTTAGGGAGATATGCTTCAACCTGAACTCGTAGACTACACATTTTTTTGCCTTAACTAGTTATTTGAACCATTGATGGCTACAATATACAATTGCATGTAATATCTTATTGTTTTTGTTTGTGTTTGAGAAATTTGTTGCATTCATTGACAATATAGTGAAAGTTGTAAGTGACTTTTGAGAGCTTACATGCTTCAACTATCTGACTGTTTCTGGGAATGACTATTAGGCTGACATGGTACTGGAATTCATGTAGAAGATTTCTAATCGTGTTAACAACTCAACAACTTAAGAGTTGCTGTATCATTAGATAACACATGGTGCACTGCTATTTTATTAGCTCGAATGATAGGAATTGTATTCTTTAGCATTACACAGGGGTTTAGTATGGATGTTGAAGTGATTGATATCAAAGGAATGGTGCAACGTGGAATGGCGGAGAAATGATTGGCTTTAATCATTATACAATGCTCGCGCTTAATGGGTACCTGTGTATTTCCGGCATTCCCTTTTTGCTGCTATATCTCCCGATCAAGAGTACGATGGCTTCTTTTTTGAAGGCTACTGTGAATTAATAGACCACATTACCATTGTTCTTTAGGCAATATGAAGGAGCTTTGGAGAACTGGTTTGAAAGGGAAATGGAAGCAGACTTTTCTAATTGTGATTTGTGTAGTTTTTTTGTTTTATTATTACTTACCAATGCTCTTTGCTTTTCGTTTTATAGGTCTCCATGTATGGTGTTGCAGCACGTTAGTTCTGTTGGGATTGTAGGGATATAAGTTAGTTGGTTAGTAGCTTATGAGTGAAGCAAAAAATACTTGTATAAATAACAAAAACCTCTTTCTCTGTAATTCATTCACTGTTCACGGAATACAATCTTTAGTCATTCACTTTCTCTCTCTAAATTCTCTGCCATTGTTTTTCGTTTTGCTTCTTCTGCAATCTCCAAAAGCTAATCATGGTATTGTTATGTGTTCAAATATGTACAAGTTCAAAAAAAAAAAATGTCTCGTCTTGTCCCACGCATAAACATTATACCAAACAACAGACAGAACAAGGGTAAGTTAGTCATTCAATCTTTTGGTTCTGTTCCGTCCAACGCGTACCAAACACAGATGGGACCAACCGTCCTGTTTGGTCCTGCGTGTACCAAACATAACACAGAACCTCTGTTCCGTCCCGTCCCATCCCATCCCATTCCATTTCGTACCGTCCCATCTGCGTACCAAACGGTACCTAAGTTTTGGAATTTCTCAACATTTTATTTTATAATTACATGATCAAATGCATGCTCACAAGAAAATACTAGCAAATTTATTGGTAAGGATTTTTTGGGGGAAAAGATCATACATTCTGAGTGTGTGGACATGTGATTTTGCTGGTATTTTTTAGATCTCGCTCCCACATCAAATGGTGTTGTAGAATTTTACAAAATAAGGGAACCAGTGATGGCAGGCATTTGAGCCTCCTCCTCAAAAAATTTTAGTGTGTTTCCTCTCCTTTCTATGCTGACAGAGACAGTTTTTGAGTTTGGTTTTATTTTCTTTTGCAGGTATGAAGGTTTGGATCGATATATAAGGTCAAGACTTATTCTGCAACCAAACTCAATTTCGGTTTGTTGCTTCTAAAGTGGCGATTGATGGGTTCCTTTTTGGGCCATTGGATTTGCTTGTGTTTTTCACATACATGGGTTTTTCTGCCGGAAAGAGTTTTCCTCAATTCAAGGAAGATGGTAAAAGGGATTTTCTACCAGCCTTTGTTCTGGAAGGAGGCGTATGGCCGATTGTGCAACTAGTAAATTTTCGGTTTACACCTGTGAGATATCAGCTCCTCTATGTCAACTTCTTCTGCTTGTTGGATAGCTCTTTTTTGTCATGGCTCGAGCAACAACAGGACGCTTCATGGAAGCAATGGTTGAAATCCCGTGTACTTGTTAGCAAACAAAAGGGTGAAGGCGATTGATTGCCCTTGGACTACAGATTCAGCTTTCGTTTGAGTCCTCGATGATTACAGTGGCTCACGTCAGAAAAGTAAAACAGTTGAGTGAGAGAACTAAGATACCAACTTAGTTTTTGGAAGTTGGGAATTCAGAAAAGGTGGATTTGCTCTCATGGTAATCCAGTTTTTACTTGCGATCCAAGTTTTCTTTGATTTTTGTTTAACAGATATGAACAAGCAAATAACAGCTGCTACTTCAAACCCAGGAAGAAAGTTACTGTAAAATTATTTACCAGAAACATTAATGTAATCTGTAATTTTTTTTTTTCAGCAGGCAATTGAAAAAAATGGAATATACATAATATAAAATTGAACAAGCAAACAAAAAAAAAAAATCATTCCCCAGAACACAAAGGTTTCGGGATCTTAATTCTTAACTCCAGACCGTTCGTTGGCCCTCGCTGCTGGAGCCGGAAGGGTTAAGACCGTACTCACTGGTAGTATCACTGTACCTACTGATATCATGGTAGCTGATGAAGCGATATTATACTATATATTTTACCCTATTCTTACTTATAGTTTATTGGTTATTTTGGTAGAATTTTAATACTTTGTTATATATTTTTAATGTAGGACATTCCACTTTCTTTGGAGTAAAAAGTAATCAAATGGATGAATTTTGGAGTGGTTCCAATTGGAGGATGTTTGTGAGTCTTTCAAGATGATTGTGTCAAAATTTCAGATTTTTCTACCAAGCCGTTTGACTGTGGCGAAGAAAAGAAAGCCTATCGCAGCTTTCCCAGATTGATGATTTTGGATGTTTTGGGTATTTTGGAGATCAAGATGACATATTTTGAGGAAGATTCCTTTTGAAGATTTGTTAGAGACGTCTTATGCTTTAAACAAGATCTTTTCGGACCAAATCGGAATTGATTTGGTTGGTTAAAAGTCTGATTTTCTGAGAAGTCCGAATTTCAGTTCAAATAGGAAACCTTTTATTTCCTTGTTATCTTATTCTATTATGTTTCATAGTTTTTAGAAGACATTTTCTAAGTAGGATTTTATTTTGTAGTAGTATAAATAAGGATATTTAGCCATTATAAACGAACGCATCAATTTGGAGAACTTAGCTAGGCTTTGACGTTTTAAGGTGTTTTCTATCTTTTTTTATTTCAATAAAATTCCTTTTGTTTTATGGTTGTTCGTAACTAATTTCCATTTACTAGGACAATGCCTTGAGCCTTAACATGAATATGTAGTCTTTATTTAATTGCTTACGATATTATGCATGCATAATTTAAATTATTAATCACTATGTTTAAACTGTTTCTGTATCTTAATGCTTAGCTACCACTAGGATGTTTAGATAAGTAATCGGATGCAATTCGGTCGGAATGCCACCGAAGGATTGAGTATTGCTTCTTGTGATTGATAGTTGTAAGTTTACCTAGGGTGAATGCCACGTCTTAGGGGTTGCATTCAAAGGGTTTTGACTAAGCATAATGAGTCATGCATGTTTATATTTGATCTGAATGCCACAGACGGATTGCATGTTTGATATACATTCTAGCTTGAATGCCACAAGTAGAATATGCATAAGGAAAACCTAACCTTCAAAGTTGCATGTGCAATTCATAAGTAATTAGTAAAACTACATAAGATTTTTAAGGGGATGGTGGAACCCTAGTGCTTTTCCAAATTTGTTTCTCAAAACCTTTTCTTTTTTATTTGATTTCTTCTTAATTGGTTATTAGTTGTTTTTCCTAAATTAGTTTTGTTAAATTCGTCTTTATTATTTTTAAATTAAAAATCAACCTCTTCCAATCTTTGTTTCAAATAATTAACTAAGATTTTGGTTTTGCATAAATTGTTTTAAATAATCCCTACAGAAATGACATTACTTGAGCCATTTATACTACAACTACCTTGTTCTTTTGAAAGTATTTTGTGTAATTTGAATCTCTTTGCGCATGAACTTAAAAATCCTATCAGTAGCTATTGTGTATTGTGCTGTTTCCTGGTGTGATTCCTTCATGAAGCTCCGTCAAGGAAGCGACTCATTCCAAAGCATGGACAACCTGCCCAGTTCGGATCAACTGTAAAAAATTTCAGTTAATTAGATGAACACTTATGAGCTTGGTTTGAAGAAACTACTGTCATAAGCTATAACAGTGAAATAGGAAAAAGGAATTACTTGGCATATTCGCAGTCAAAGCCATGCTGAATGGCGTAAACAAGCAGCAGCGCAAGTAACGATTCGAGCCATCTCATTGCTGTTGTAGTCTTTCTCCAACCTTGGATCAATAAGAGCACTGAAATCGCCATCTTCCAGCGCTTGAGTGAGCAATGGCTTGGCTTGCAATGTCAAAAATGAAAGTTCAGTCAGTTGTTCACTCAAATTTCTGCACTCGAGGACCACGGCTGATGTTTTGCATCCATTGGACAGTCTGATTAGTGATTAATGAAAAATAGGTGAGGGAAATGGTAAGAAACACAGCAAGAGAAGAGAATGCTTTGAATGTGTTAATTGTATTCTTCTCATTCTGAGGTATATATAATCATGTACAATCCTACTACAATAAGGAAAGAATAATTACAAGCAATCTACAACCTAAACTAGGAAATCCAAAATAATAGGAATCCCTAAATTAAAGGGAAATATTATACAAGTCAACACTCCCCCTCAAGTTCGTGCATTTATGTCACACATGCCCAACTTGTCTAAGAAACTTGAGAACTTGTCACTAGAACCAGCCTTTGTGAGTATATCAGCCACTTGATCCCCGATCCTAATCGTGGGAAATTCAATTACTTTTCCCTCTAATTTTTCTTTAATGAAGAACCTATCAACCTCCACATACTTCTTCCTATCATGTTGTACCAGATTATGAGCGATATCCCTAGAAGCCTTGTTGTCACAAAATAACTTCATCGGCAAACTGTGGTTGACCCCCAAATCTTGTAATAGAAACTTAAGCCACAAGAGTTCACAAATACCAAGAGCCATACCTTTATATTTCGCTTTTACACTCGAACGAGCTACTACATTATGCTTTTTACTTCTCCATGTTACTAGATTACCACTAATAAAAGTGAAATATCTTGATGTTGAGCATCGATCGTCTACTGAACCTGCCCAGTCGGCATCGGTATACCCTTCGATTCTGAAATGCTCATTTTTCATAACCACACTCATATGTTGCTCCCTTGGATCATGCATATACTGACTGATTATGCTCAATGCATGAGCAAGATTAGGTCTTGTATGTGCCAAATACATCAATCTCCCAACTAATCGTTGATATCTTCCTTTGTCTATCGGTACTTGATTCTGGAGAAGACTCAACTTCATTCCTTCAGCCAATAGAGTTGCAACAGGTTTACAAGCTGACATCCCGGTTTCCTTTAACAAATCAATGATGTTGATGCACAAAATTGGGTCAATCTTGTACCAACGTAAATCCAACCGTAAATCACATAAATGCACAAGAACACAAAGATATATTGTGGTTTACCTCAAGTTAGGCTATGTCCACATTGGTGTCGATCCAGTTTCACTATGTAAATTGAGGGTTACAATATGGAGGCTAGGGTTTGCTCTATTTGCTATATCCCTTAAAGTGAGGCAAATGATCCCTTTTATAAAATAAGGGTTCGCTTTACCTCATACATGCTTTATGGGCTAGGTCGTGAGGCCCAAATACTAGGGCCCAATATATGGTACAATAAGAGTCTCCCAAGTCTTCAGTCAAGAAAGTCTTTTGGCTGGAGACTTCAAATCCAATCCATGTGAGGGCCGAAGTGACTAGATGTCGTCCAAAACTAGTGCTCGACATAAGGCGGTGCTCAATGTGAAGTAATACTCAGCTTGAGGTAGCACACATTTCAAGGTTGCTCTACTAAAGGCAATGCTCGCGGCGAGGCGGTTGCTTGGCTGGAGGCAGTGCTCGTTGCGAGGCGGCTCGGCTCGTGGCATTCCTCGTTGTGACTATGCACTCGACGTCAGCTTTTACTCATTATGAGTTAACTCTCGACATGACTCGGGTCCACTTGTCAATTTTGCATATTGGGTCTATGTGTCGGGTCCACGGATCGGGTCCATAAGTTGGGTATTTGAGTCGGGGCCATACGTAGGGACTTTGAGTTGGGTCCAAAATTTGGGTCCATGAGTTAAGGTCCGAGTTCAAGGGTGTCCATGTTTGTGGGTGTCCAATCTCGTAGGTGCCTGAATGAATGGGTGTCCAAGCTCGCGGGTGTCCGATCGCATAAGTGTCCAAATGAGTGAGTGTCCAAGCAAGCGGGTGTCCGGCCAAACAAGAGATCACTGTTCGGACTAAATTTTGGTCACCATAAGCATGTGGCTCATAGATCTATAAGCTGATCAGTAGTGTGGACTACCATAATTTTGGTCCCTGGTTAATCAATAATATGTATGAGCATCGTATACAAGCAATTAATCGTCAAAGTGTGCATATTGCGAACATTGTCATACATAGATTATATAAACATATAATAATGTAGCATGCCTAGTGAAAAGTTATATGACAATATGATTCAATGAAATATAATAATGTAACATGTGTGGTGCGGTTGCCATGTACGAATCAAGCAGCTAAAATCATGTTAAAAGAACATGAATTATCTCATTCGTGGGTTTTCCCAGAGAGTGGGACAGTGGTATATATGTAATTCTGTATTTGTACCCTACCATGAATCACTAAAGTTTCACCCTAACATTTAAATAATGAATGTAGTGGTCAGGAATTATTAAAGATATGCCATTCTAAGATGAGGTGGCAAGACTAAGTCACGTGTCAGACAAGTGGTCTTGTAATAAACATTAAATAATAATATAAAATTTTAATATGAATTAGGTTAGATGACGTCTTATCTTTCTCCTGGGTTGGTGGCTGATAGTTCCAGGATGCAGGGCCTGCTCGCGATGAGTTTGCCAGGGTCGACATCGATTATTCGACAAGTTAGCCAACGTCGGGTTCGCTTGGGTTGAGTAGGGACTTGATAGATCCGAATCCCTCAAACTCGCAACTTCAGCGACCTCTGCGAAGAATCATCCATCGACACTTACGCTGCAACTCCCGGCTCATTTCCTAACGATTTGACTACCTCGTCGATCCGAGTGGCTCAAAGATTCTGACATCGATTCCCCAACCTTACATAGCTTCACTATAGACAATGATTTCACCACTTAGCTTGCATCGTAAGCCTTCTCTCCTCCATCGATCTGTCGATCTCCGTCAACTTACCTTCAACCTTCATATAACTCAAAACCCAAGAAGAGGTTGGTGGTGAGAATAGGTAGTTGTGGGTCGGGTTTGTGAAGGGTGATGGCTTCGATGATGGAGACCACTTCAAAGCCATTAACGGCGACAATGGTGATTTTGGGTCTTCTTCTATGGAGAAGGCTAAGCCTATGGAAGGTTTACGTGACGTGTGCTTTCACTCGTTCTTCTCTTAGGCTTTGATGGTTGAGTGTTGCTGTGAAATTTAAGGGAGATAAGAGATGAGGTGGTGGCTGTGTTTCCATTGCTACTACCATGATCGGGAGCTGGAGCGGAAGGCATGGGTTTTGCAGTGACTGTATAGTGTTTGGTTCTTGGGTTTCTACAGATTCACTATGGAGGTTGTGAGGGTTTCACGGTGGTGAGATGAACAAATGAGAGAGAACCAACATGACTTTTCATATTGATTCCCATAGACAGCGCCAAATGTTGATGCACAAAATTGGGTCAATCTTAGACCAACATAAATTCAACCGTAAATCACACAAACGCATGAGAACACAAAGATATATTGTGGTTCACCTCAAGTTAGGCTACGTCCACATTGGTGTCGATCCGGTTTCACTATGTAAATTAAGGGTTACAATATGAAGGCTAGGGTTTGCTTTCTTTGCTATATCCCCTAAAGTGAGGTGAATGATCCTTTTTAAAGGTTCCCTTCACCTTCTACATGCTTTATGGGCTAGGTCATGAGGCCCAAATACTAGAGCCCAATATATGGTACAACAAATGATATACTTTCTTTGCGACAATAATATTCCAGACTTGCCTCTTAATACCTCGATCCCAAGAAAGTATTTCAGAGATCCAAGATCTTTCATTTCGAACTCCGTAGACAAATACTTCTTTAGAGTAGATTGTTCTACTAG